AAAAAAAAAAAAAAAAAAGAAAGAAAGAAAGAAAGAAAGAAAGATGTTGACACAAAAGAAAGAACAACATATGAAAGAAAATCAAATTCCTAGGTGCTGAGATCTTTAAAAATTTTGTGCAGAAGAAAACTGTTTACTAATACAAGTCAAAGTCTTACAAAAATAATTGCACTCAATCACATGGCATTCCTTAAAACACTTCAAAGAAAATGCATGCTATTCCTAATTTCCCATTTCAAAAAACAGAGTAAAAAAACACTTTATGACTTACATGGCCTGACCTGAATTTTCTACACATTCGATCTCCCCTTATAACTCACTCTCTTGCTCATTATGCTTCATTCATAATGGCACTTTTGTTTCTTGAACATAATGTGCTTTTCCTCAATTCTGGGCCTTCGCAGGGTGGTGTTCCCAGTTCTTCAAGTGAGTTCTCAATCTCTGTCTCAGATTAAAGTTCCAGCACCAATGAGGTGCTGACTACTTTTGCTAAAGTAGCAATCCCTTCCTACCCATTCTACTCCATGGTACTCTGTTTACTGTCTTCAAAGCACTGTTCACAGTATGAAATTATTTATCTACTTTAATCTGTCCCTATTAAAATAATAGCTAATATTTACTAAACACTTTTTATGCCATTTTTGAAGCTATATATTAACTAATTTAACCTTTATATGAATGCTACAAGGTATGCACAATGATTATACTCCTATTACTAATGAGAAATCTCTTATTCATTGATGTAACCCCAGTGTCTACCTATAACAGTGCCTTGTCAAAGGAGATGTTCAGTCAATTTTTTTCTTTTTTTGAGACAGAGTCTCACTCTGTAACCCTGGGCAGAGTGCTATGGCGTCATAGTGCACAGCAAGCTCAAACTCTTGGGCTCAAGAGGTCCTCTTGCCTCAGCCTCCCGAGTAGCTGGGACTATAGGCACCTGCCACAAGGCCTGGCTCAGTCAATATTTTTTATGTGAATTTTGGAGATGCTCTATTACATGCTAAAGGTGTTTTGTATTTTAGGATTTATAGAGCTTTCTCTACAGGCTATTGATTTCACAGAAAAAAAAAAAAGAACTTCACAGCTATAAACTGAAATCTCTAGCTAGTTTCACAAGAGGGATCACATAAGAAAGTGTAGGTGATCTAGCATAAAACATGTACTATTAATATATGAGGTATTAGAGTAACCATCCTTTAAGTATTCATTTTAGAAGGACCCTAAAGCTTATTCTAGTGAGAAGAGTGAGGCCCCATACATTAATATCATACAGCTACTAATTGACCTCAAAAGTCTTATTTCCTTCCAGGATGGAAAAATCAATACCAACACAAATTGAAAATTACGGAACACTCTAGATAAAAATACCAAGACAATGAAGGGTTAATCACTTTTACATTATAAAAACCTTTTACATTATAAAGGAATACTAAGTAAATGATTCCCTAGTAGTCATATATGTTCAACATAAAGTCTCAATACTAATTTGGCATACAAGAGCCATTTGCTGCTTCTTACTTGGGTATTCCAAAGTTAATAACCCTTTAAATGAGCATCAATAAGAATCTAACATCCCACAAGGCTGAGTGAAGGACATCTGAAGAACAAGCTTCCTCCATGGCAATTAACTATAAAACCCAAAATTTTTATAGCCTGACAACTAAATGTGAAGAAACTCAGTACATCCCAGGAGGCAAAGGGCTTTGGGAGGGTTATCAGAAAAATACAATACACTCTTAAAGGTATCAGAAGCACAAATGATCTTTGTGAACAAGATCAAGTACTAACTCTCACCTGTGAAATTATCATTAATGATTATTGAAAACTGGCAAAGAATTTGACAGACTAAAAAGATAAGCCTGCCAACATATTCATACTCATGATGTATGATAGAAAGAAAAACACTACATTTAGGCTTAGCTAGTTTGTAAAATCATACAAGAAGGTATCATAAGTAGTGATAATTCCACTTATCATGGAATCAGTTTAAAGTTGTTGGGGTTTCTTGGCAGGAGTGGCATAATCATAGCTCAATGCAGCCTTGATCTCCTGGGCTTAAGTTATCCTCCTGGCTCAGACTTCCAAGTAGCTAGGACTATAGGTATGCCGCCACATCTAGTTGCTTTTTAAAAATTTCTGCAGAGACAGGGTCTTGCTATGTTGCCTAGCCTGGGCTCAAACTCCTGGGCTCAAGTGACCCTTCTGTCTTGGCCTCCTGAAGTGTTGAGGATATAGGCATGACCCATCATGTTGGCCCCACTAGTCTTTATATTCAAATTGATGAGGGAGTCACCTGCTAAGGGTGAGATAGGATGAAAGAGTAGAATTAGGCATGGTGGGAGTACCAAGGGAGCTGAACTGAAACAGGAAATAAAATTTGCATGATTATGTAACTATTTTCCCCAAAACTCAGCAACCATGATGCTGGAGCAAAGGATAAGCTGTCAGTGTTATTCTGAGGTAAAATGAAAAGTCTAGGGGAAAGAGAGCAGAGGATAGGTACTGAAACCTCTCAAATATTTTCCCCATCATTAATCTATAGAGATCTTTTAATTCTATCTCAAGTATTTATTCACAAGAAAAAACAAAAAAACCCAAAAAACTAGGTCTTCTTAAAAATAGTTCCTTGGCCCTGAGTGTAGCTTCCCTGTGATGAGATTATTTTAAGAAAATTTTATTTTTGGTCTCTGGATTACTTTGTAAGCAGGGCCATCCTAAATCTGGATGGCAAATGCTAGCTTTGTATTTAATCTAGGGCAAAAGAAGTTTGTGTAACTTATTATATTCAAATGAACTATTAAAATAAGTATGTATGTAAGTAGTCTGTCAGGACATAGAAAAATAATTAAAAGTTGATGTTTTAGGGCTCTGGAACTGCAGATTTAAAAAAAATTGCCAGTATCTATAGAACGTTACTACTATAATTGTTTTGTTTTTTTTCTTTTTTTTAGAGACTTATTCTGTCGCCCTCAGTAGAGTGCCACAGTGTCACAGCTCACAGCAACCTCCAGCTCTTGCCAGTATCTATAGAACGTTACTACTATAATTGTTTTGTTTTTTTTCTTTTTTTTAGAGACTTATTCTGTCGCCCTCAGTAGAGTGCCACAGTGTCACAGCTCACAGCAACCTCCAGCTCTTGGGCTTAGGCGATTTTCTTGCCTTAGCCTCCCAAGTAGCTCAGATTACAGGCGCCCACCACAATGCCCAGCTATTTTTGTTGTTGTTGTTGCAGCTTGGCCGGGGCCAGGTCTGAACCTACCACCCTCAGTATATGGGGCCGGGGCGCTACACACTGAGCTACAGGCACTGCCCACTATAGTTGTTTTTAAAATGTGAAACAAGTAAAAATACTTACTATACACAAACTATCACAAACTCAGAGAATTTCAAAGGAAAAATCATTGCTTGATACTGAAGTTAGCTTAAGTATACTGCAGTATACTTTTTTTTTGAGTCTTACTGTCATCCTGGGTAGACTGCTGTGGCATCAGCCTAGTTCACAACAACCTCAAACTCTTGGGCTTTCAACCTCAGCCTCCCAAGCAGCTAGGACTATAGGTGTTCACCAAAATGCTGGGCTAGTTTTTCTATTTTTAGTAGAGATGTGTTCTCACTCTTGCTCAGGCTGGTCTCAAACTCCTGAGCTCAGGCAAACTGCCCACTGAGACCTCCCAGAGTGCCAGGATTACAGGTATTAACCACCACTCCTGGCTTTCATTGCTTCTTTTAACATAAACCAATGGCAAGAGATTTGTCATTTTCACAAAATCAAAAGAAAAAAATTTCTTCAGAAAATATCTATCGTGGCTCGGCGCCTGTGGCTCAAGTGGCTAAGGTACCAGCCACGTACACCTAAGGTGGCGGGTTCAAATCCAGCCCGGACCCGCCAAACAACAATGGCTGCAACCAAAAAATAGCTGGGTGTTGTGGTGGTCGCCGGTGGTCCCAGCTACTTGGGAGGCTGAGGCAGGAGACTTGCTTGAGCCCAGGAGTTGGAGGTTGCTGTGAGCAGTGAAGCCATAGCATTCTACCTAGGGGGACAGCTTGAGGCTCTGTCTCAAAAAAAAAAAAAAAAAAGAATATCTATTGTTAAGAAAAATAAAATCAATGAGAGCATTACCTTGTCTTTTGACTGTCCTTGTCGGGCAATTGCATCATACTTAATCTTCCCTTCAGGATCCACCTGAATGGCCAACGCATTTGACATTTTTTTCTTTCGTCCCATATCCAGTGGATACTGGGCCACATGGATTTCTGGAAAAGCACCTCCATCTCCAAAATCCTATATATTTCAAAAAGGAAGAAAGATAGTAAGTACTATTTAGTAGTGATTTGAGATTTAAGATATATTCATCCATTCAACAAATAATTATTGAGTCCTTAGCATCCTAGATGCTGGAGAATTGGCAGAGGTCTCTGCCTGTAGTGGAGTTTACATTCTAGCATACAAAAGATACAAAAACATACTCTACTCTCTTGGTTTGTGAAAAATAACATGAAGGCCATAAAGGGACTAGAAAGAGAGGCTATCTTCGATAGGGTGGTTGGGATAGGCTTTGTGATGAAGTAACATGTGAGCTAAAGTCTGAATGATGAGAACGCAGTTATGGGAAGATCTGAGAAAGCATTAATAGCAAAGCAAATAGCAAGTGTCTTGCTAGCATGAGCTTGGTATATTTTAGGATATGAGAGTTCAATGGGGTTGACAGCTTCTTAAGAACAGTGAAGCTAACACACTGGCTGCATGGGTAGATAAATACCAGACCCTGAAGGGTCTCCTAGGCCATGGCAAGGAATCTGGATTTTACATATGTAGCAGGAAGAAAGTAAGCAAAATGTTTAAAACGCAAAGATTTTCATTTTAGCACACACCTATGTTTTAGTGAGGAACAGATGAAGCTATATTTAGAATGGAAATATAAAGTGTATTCTTAGAATCAGATTTTATTAACATGTTATCATTTATTCACTGTTATGTGAGAAACAAATAATACAATAGCAACAATCCCAAAATGAGTTTATCACATTTTTACTGGAAATTATATACAACTTAGGAGACAACTAAGATTTCTAAAGCAGAAGAAGCTAAATAAAGTCTGTCAATGAAGTTTAATATTTAAAAAACGTATGTTGGGGCGGCACCTGTGGCTCAAAGGAGTAAGGCGCCGACCCCATATGCTGGAGGTGGTGGGTTCAGACCCAGCCCCAGCCAAAAACTGCAAAAAATAAAAAATAAATAAAAAATAAAAAAACCTAAGTTATCAATAAACCTAAGTATAATTTTTAAAGTTTTAAAATATTTAATTAATACCATTTGTTTAGTTCTCTTTAATTTAAAAAATGTAATTCACAGGCCAGGTATGGCGGCTCACACCTGCAATCCCAGCAAGGCGAGTGGACTGCCTGAGCCAGAGCAAGACCCTGTTCTAAAAATACCCGGGCATTATGGCAGGCACCTGTAGTCCCAGGTACTGGGGAGGCTGAGGCAAGAGAACTGCTTGAGCCCAAGAGTTTGAGGTTGTTGTGAGCTGTAATGCCATAGTATTCTACCAAGGATGACAAAGTGAGACTCAAGTCTCAAAAAAAAAAAAAAAAAAAAAAGAAGAAGAAACAGTAATTCACACTTATGTCACTTAATCCATATAGCTTTTATTTTCATATGGAAAAAATTAAGGTAATTTCCCCCATGATCATAACAGCTAGCATTTGCAGGAATTGAACCCAGATCTTTTGGTTCCAAAAAGCTTTGTGTTTTAGGTTTTTATAACTTTTGAGTTTTGAGATTTAGAGATAAGGTCTCCCTGTCTCCCAAGCTGAAGCACAATGATAGCTGTCTATAACCTCCAACTCCTAGGCTCAAAGAGTTCTCCTATATAGCCTCCAGAGTAACACATACCAACATGTGAGGCTAATTTTTTTTTTTTTTGAGACAGGAGCCTCAAGTTGTCCCCCTTGGTAGAGTGCTGTGGCATCTCAGCTCACAGCAACCTCCAACTCCTAGGCTCAAGTGAGTCTCCTGTCTCAGCCTCCCAAGTAGCTGGGAGCACAGGTGCCTGCCACAACGCCCGACTATTTTTTGGTTGCAGCCGTCATTGTGTTTGGCGGGTCCGGGCTGGATTTGAACCCACCACCTTGGGTGTACGTGGCTGGTGCCTTAGCCACTTGAGCCACAGGTGTTGAGCCATGAGGCTAATTAAAAAAAAAATTTTGTGTGTGTAAAGATGGGGTCTCTCTATGTTGCCAGGCTGGTCTCAACTGATCCTCTCACCTTGGCCTTCGAAAAGTGCTTGGGATTATAGGTGTGAGCCACTGTATCTGGTCAGTTTTGTATTTTCCTTTTTTTTTGACAAAGTCTCACTCTGTCACCCTCAGTAGAGTACTGTAGCGTCACAGCTCATAGCATCCTCAAACTCTCGGGCTTAAGTGATTCTCTTGTCTCAGCCTCCCAAGTAGCTGGGACCACAGGCGCCCACCACAACGCCTGGCTATTTTTTGTTGTTGTTGCAGTTGTCATTGTTGTTTAGCTGGCCTGGGCCAGATTTGAACCTGCCAGTCTCAGTGCATGTGGCTGGTGCCATAACCACTGTGCTACGGGCACTGAGCCTGAATTTCTACTACTCTAAAACACCTCTCTTTTAGTTCAAAAAAGCCAAATTAGCATTACAAAGACATGATCAAAATATATATTAAAATTAATCATTTGATAAGTTTGTGAAAATATCAACCTTTATGAAACTTTTTCAAGCAATATTTCATTACATTCAAGATAAATGAGTTCCTAGGTACCACATGCATGTTTGCTAAAGAGCACTTTTGAAATTTTTGAAAACTGGGTCGGTGCCTATAGCTCAGTGGCTAGGACACCAGCCACATACACTGGACCTGGCAGGTTCGAATCCAGCCCAGGCCTGCCAAACAACAATGACAACTACAACCAAAAAATAGCCGGGTGTTGTGGTGGGCATCTGTAGTCCCAGCGACTCAGGAGGCTGAGGCAAGAGAATCACTTAAGCCCAGGAGTTGGAGGTTGCTGTGATCCGTGATGCCATGGCACTCTACTCAGGACGATAGCTTGAGACTCCCTCTCAAAAAAAAAAAAAAATGAAAATTTTGAAAACCAACAGAACTGAAAGACATTTTCTTATAAATTAGGCCGAAATAGTTGATGCATTCCTAAGAAAAGTGCTTCCTATACCCAGGGCATCAATCTGACACAAGCTCAGATTTGCTAGAGTTCTTCAACTATAATAAGCACTTCAGAACTGTAGATGTAGCATTATGTGGTCATTAAGCTTGCTAGAAAATCACAGCTTTTACTTTGAAAACTGGAACAAAATGCCTTCTTCCACAGAACATTCACTCCCCTCAAGAAGCATCCATGGTATTTCCAGATTAGCTGGCCATTTTCATTTGATTTTTCAAATAAACTGTTCTTGTTCTACCAGGGTATATGAAACCTTTGATAGTCAAGTAAGATTTTAAAAAGCTAATAGTAATCAAATATCATTATGCTGAAATGCAAGGATGAGATTCCTACTGTACATAAAATGATGCCTGCCACCCCCATTTGCTGTAATCTATTGAGAAGCTAAAGAATATTTATAATCTCTCAAAAGACTTTGAACTCTCTACTAAATAATGCCAGTCACT